CCCCCCAAATTTTTTGAAAACCCAAAGGAAAATATGCACCCTTTTTAGTTTACAAAACCCCTTATTTTTTAATTTTTTGATGATGAGCACTTTTTTACCACGGTTTTTCCCCTTTTTCTTAACTAACATGCGGGGATTTTATTTTTATTCAAAATAATCAGGAATGCTCATACCTGTTTGTGATTCATGCTATGTTTAGGGATAAATTTATTTAATAAGCTCCTTGTGTTTCGCTTGTTTTGTTGTGTTTTCGGGAGCACATTTCAAAGGTAAGAGGAAAAGAACTTTATAAATTTTTATTAAGATCGGGGGCCATGGATTTTTTGCTAGCTAGATAATTATATTTTTAGAAAAAAATTATTAAATTTAATAATCATAAGTTGAACTACCCTTTGGCTGAAAAAGAAAAATTTTATGAAATTTAAAAACAAATTATAATTTATTATTAATTTTATTAATCGAAACTTTCTAAATAAGCACAAAAGTCAAACTAAAACTAATCATGCCCAAATTATAGGTTATGGCTTAAGAAAAAGCTATAATGCTAAAGATCCCAAATTCTTTAAAAACTACAATTAATGTGATTTTAAAGTATATTTAAAAATGTTCAAACCAATGTCTGTGTCCATTTTTAACGCAAAAACCCTAGAAAATAGTCTATGTTAAAAACGTGCTAAAACATTATTTTCAAGTATTTAAAATTATTAAAACTCATGTGAAATTAAAGTTTTAAAAAGAAAGGTAAAATTATAAATACGATAAAAATTGCCTTATTTTGAACTGTTTTAATAAAAAACCTAGATTAATTAATCTGAGATAAACAGTTCGTTTAGGCCACGCGGTAGCCATTTTGAGAAATCGCCGATTTAGCTGTCAAGAAGTGACCGGGAAGACAATTTAAATTTTATATTCTATGATGTACAGATTCCAGCAAAACTACCCATATTTTATGATTAAAAATGGACACAGAATCCAAAAATGTCAACTAAAAGTATATAAATTCACTTTAAAAAGGAGATATTAAAGAAATTTAATTCCCGCATAGCAAATAGTGAAATTTATTTGGCTGAACAAAGATCGCTATGTAAGTTAGGTGTCGTTTGGTTGAGCATCCTCTTCTTAATAACTTTGAGCCCACGTATTCGATTCTGAGCAGCCAGTATTGAGCGACAGGATTTCAAAGTAACTGATAGGCAAAGAAGCCATTTTTCGTGGACCACCGACGCCATCTTGTAAGCGATCTCTACTTTCGTTTTTAAGTGGGTCACTTGAATGATCGTAATCGCTATATATACCTCCAACGCGCAGATAGGGGCAAAAAAAGGGACGGGCTGGACGCCAACAGCGTACACTAGGTGTCTAAGGAGGGAGGGGTTGGCCTATAGGGCGTAACCGGGGTTGGGTTGTGGGGATGACCTTAGTTCATCCGCGTGGAATAAAAGTGGTGCCTATGCTTGCAAACAAATATCGACAGACAGCTAGATAGATAGATGGATGGATGGGTGGATGGATGGATGGATGCTTCTCTCTTACTGTCAGCTATCAAATAAAGACAGTAAGGATGCTTGTTATACAAAAGTAATCAGTCAAGCCCGAGAGTAAGACGGGTAACAACAGAGTGTTAAGCGGGGAGCGATGAAGGGATAGATGGGAAAAACAGCGGGGGTGTGGGTGGATGGTGGTGTGGTAGGGCGAGTGTGTCCTGGATAGATGGGTGGGTAGAGATGGTGGTGTGGATGGAATTCCTGGATGACTGTATTAGTGGATGAATGGAATCGTTAGATGGATGGCTGGATCGACCAAAATATTGAGTCTAGTAACAGTGCTTCTCTCTTACTGTCCGCTAAAAAATAGAGAGACAGTAAGGGTGATTTTTTATACAAAGTATAGGTAGAGCCCAAGTGGTAAGGCTGGTAAAAGCCAGAATGGAAGGAAGCTGTGAAAAATAGCATTTGAGTGGGATGGTGAGATAAATGGTGTGGTAGATGAATGGGCGGGACAATGGTTACGTTCGTAGATAGATGCATGGTAGATGGATGGATGGGATCTGCCTATATGTATGCTGATATATTAAAATAGTTTATTGCTTTGTTTTTAGTATCCAGAAGCCATGAGTTGTTAATCCTTAGGCTCGGTATTATGGATATCGCAACCCTTCGACCTTGATTCCATTTTAAATACCGTAAAGCTAGGAGAAATGTGGCTTTTATGCCTACTCCCGGAAGTGAACACGGACCACATGGAGTTCGTCACCCGCTCACCGCGCAATCCGGTTTAGCCAACTACGCTAGAGAGCCGGGGATTTAAACAGGTCCAAACAAGGGTCTCATACTGTGATGCTTCTCTCTTACTGTCATCAAGCAAGTAAAGACAGTAAGGGTGATTGTTATACAAAGTATCAATTGAGCCCACGTGCAACAACATCGTGTTGCCTGAGATACCTGCTGAGTAGGTAGCCGAGATTAGTGATGGATTGTACATCGGGTATGTGTTTGTAAAGTACGTTATATTGCTTTATTAATTTTTTGGGGGAAGTAGGGGGGGGGGTCAATAATGGCTCTCCTTGCAGATTCGGACGAGGGTTGGACGCGGGCTGGACGACTTAGTTCAGTTTAGTGGGAGTTCTCTCCCTTGGCCGCACTCGAAACAAGTAGCGGAAAAAGTCTTGAATCAAACAAGACAGTGAGGTCGACATCAGGGCTGCCAAAGCTTGGGTGTGTCCCCCAGATCTGTTTTTTTTTTACACTGCGGGGATATCTGTTTTTTTTTTTCTGTTTTGCCGATCTGTATGCTTTAATGACCGATAAATTTGCGTAGTTAAGAGTAGGGGTAGGGTTAGGGGTAGCGTTAGGGTTGCCGTAAGGGTTAGGGGTAGGGTTAGGTTTAGCGTTAGATGTGACAATTTTGACGCCGTAGTTCCCTATAATCGCGCACAGTCACATACACACTCAAACAGACGACGGACGGTGGATGCTACTGACACGGACGATTGGGCACCAGCCGCCCGCTATTGGCGTCATATTTGGCAGAATTTCAGTGGCGCCACTCCCACAAGCATCAGATTGTCGGCCACTATTTCGACCTCCTAGGTGAATATTTTCACATCTAACCCTACCCATAACCCTACCCCTAAGCCTACCCATAACCCTACCCCTAACCCTAAGCCTACCCATAACCCCTAACCCTAACGTTACCCCTAACCAAAACCCCTAACCCAAACCCTACACGCAACCGTATGATGACTACACAACCGTACGCAACCTTACACGCAACCGTATGATGATAGGTAAGTATGTCATTTGTTTCGTGGACTTTTCCGCTCACTGTTTTGGGTGCGGCCAAGGGAGAGAACTCCCACTAAACTAAGTCGTCCAGCCCGCGTCCAACCCTCGTCCGGATCTGCAAGGAGAGCCGTCAATAATATTCATATCATCATCATTGTTTTCGGGTTTGTACTTAAGCAGCGCGCTACATCATATTGTTATAAATAATAAAAATATAAATTATAAATCTGCCCTGTTGCGGGTTTAGGACTAAGACCAGATCATCTCATCATCGGGTTGGCAGGCACGCCACAGACTCAGAGCTACAGTAATAATACTATACATTACTATATTCAACATGTTGAACATGGCATGGATGGATTTTAAAAAACAGTAATTGTTAAATTTAAGTTGCCTTTTAAAAAAAAATAGTGCTATGCAGCTGCTATGGAAAGAACTATGAAAAAGGAAAGGTGTGAGGGTGAAAGGGTTAGTATGTGGACTGATTAACATTTCCAGTTTGACCTGATCACTCACACATTTTTTGTAAATGACCACAGCAGTTACTTGCTGCACCTGAATTGAAGTCATTAGCTTGTCAAAAAATAAAATTCGGATTTATTGTATTGTATGAACCACTTCCACATTAGGGATGATTTCCATTGCAGGCTTATTCTTAATGATCAGTATCACATTGCCACCATAATGTTCACATCTGATCTGATAAAACATTCAGAATGTCCAAATTCCCATTGTGATGAAAACAAGAACAGACCCACTACTTCCCCAACTGAATGTAAGCATACGAGTCGACTAATTGGAGGCTTCTTTCGAAGTCGAAGTGCATCTGCCTAAAATTTAAGGAACCAACAGTCTTCCCACACATTGGCCAGATATGTAAAATGGATGTACCGGTTTCTGGAACAAAACCACTGTCTAGAGTTTGACAAACAGCGAGAAGTTTCTGCTGGAGTTACAGCCAAATAGAAGTGTTGGTATTGCGGTTTCTTTGGGTGACAGGGTTCTTACATATTTTATACTGAGAAAGACATGCTTATTGCATCCACAATTATTTGGTTTTGAATGTGAATGGTTTTATGAATCTTTTCTCAAAAATGTTGTATTCGTTCTCAGATTCCAGATTCTGTCACTGGTTACTATCTGAACAGAGTTGGCTTGGATTCCAGTGATCCACGGATGTAAGATCATAGATAATTTTTTGTGCCAGTGTTACTGTCCTTTGTTGGTTTGTGTTCTGTTTAGTAATTGTTTATTGTTTAATTCTTGTTGTACTCACTTTAAAATTTTGTGTTTTCATATTGAGGACTTCACTTTTATTTTATCCACAACTCATGTTCTGTTAATTTCGCCTACTGTGTTCATTGTTCTGTTAATATGACTCAAGTTCATATAACTCAGTTCTGTTCATATTAACATGATCTAACTAACCTGTATTCTGTTCAGAAGATTGTTTTGTTTAAGTGAACACATTGTCAACCTGGTCATATAATAAAAATCATGCTGTCATGGCAGCATCAGATCACCATTTGTATCTTTCTTCTTCACATTTCCAGTGTAAGGTTCAGGTTGTCTACCCATTTCTGGCCTTCATCTTGCTCCAGAATCCAAGTTTTTACAAATCTGGCTTATTTGCATGCAGACCGTTGGTTCATTATCTATCAGGGTCTCCCAAGTTTTTAATTAACATCACAGGATGATCTTCTTGCTCTGCGTTCATCCAAAGGCATAAATGCGTTTTGCCAGTTTACAACATGGCTATATTTGCGCCTTCAGCTGACACATTTGACTTCTGCTGGCATTTGTTGTCCTAGTTAGCCTTCCCGGTATTACAAGATCTATAGTCAAGTGAAAGATGGTTTTTTACTATCCTGGCATATAATGCTAGAATAATAATTTTGTAGATCTGTTGGCGCTCAGTGTGGATTCGAACCAGTGACTGAATGTGAATGTATTTGACATGAAATATACTGTTTGACACATTTTTCAGTTATGAAATTCTAGAGTTTCTATCATGATGTTATTTAAAATATCCACTATTCTCTGTTAAAACTTATATTAACATCCTCAGACTGAGACTGATTTCCCTGGCCGCTCAAAAGTTTATCTCAGATATAGCCAACGATGCCCTCCAGCATTCCAGGATGAGAGCATCAGGACAGAGCTCTAAGAAGCCAGGAAAGGTGAGAGCATACTTGTGTCCGTGTATATATTTTTGTTGCTATTGTGGCAGAGCCTCTAAAATGGGCATCATCTGATTTCAGCAAAACCTTTAATTAATCACTCATAATGCTGGCTTGTTAGGGACAGTTAGCCTACTCTCCTTTTTTCTACTGGCCCCTGAAACCCAGATATGTTGCCAGATATCTTGTGTGCATTTGTTGAGTAAATGATGTTTCAAGCATATGGTGCTACTCATTTATATAGACCAGCTGGCACTTAGATGATGTCAACATCATGACGGTCATCTTTGCTTTTCAGGTTATTTCCTGGTACACATTTTAGGTTGGGCTGTCCAGACAGCTAGTGTGTTTTAGATTTGAATCTGCAACTGTTGGGTGCAGGCAAGCGCCTTCTGTGTGGTATATGCAGTGTAAAATTTATGTCTTAACATAATGCCTGGTTGTCACTTTATGAGTAATGTAGGTGTTTGTGCCATTAGGAGTAAAATCTAGTATTTTTTTTTAAACAATCTTGTCTGGAATAATTTATAACTTATTGATTATCCTAAAGATAAACAGAAACATGTCACACTGGAAATTGGTGAGTTTCTGATTGTTTTTAGTTTTTTCTATTCCATGTCTTTGTGTAGGAACATACACACGTGCATAAATTTAAACACTGTTTAATGTTGGCTTCCAGTCAGTCTAGAGCAGTGTAATTCAGTTGGCAGTTTGCAGAGGCCTAGCGAGTAGCCTGTGTATTATTGTCAATGTTATTATAATAGTGATAATTCTGTACAGGGCGCTTTAGCCTCCGTCTCACGACGGTCCACATTTTCAACATGTTGGCCCCTGTATAGCTGAATAGCCCTGGGTATTCTGGTTTGCTGTTTTGAGTCATGGCAAGGTTTTGCTTCTGACAGTAGTATGCCATTGCATTTTCCTCCATAAGTAGACTGAAAGGATATAGTTTCATTGCGCAGTTGCATCAGTAGCACGACACTGAGCTGCAGATATTGATACGGAATACTTTTTGTTTGTGCCCAATGTGGTTTGTTTGTGAACTTTAGATTCAGAAAGTGGTGAGTAGCCTGTTGCCACAAAACTGGTGGTGCCTTATATGATTAACTGATATGCAAGCTACTGATCTGTTGCACCTGCTGCTTCTATTGATGATGAACTGCATTTCTAGTATTGGACTGCACTTCTGAAGGCTGCCATATGCATTTGTATGCTAGAGGATATGCTGAGTATGCAGTCTATGAGTCAATTTTTCCACTAGAAACAATGGTGGGCATGCTGTTTTCATTGACAAAGGAACAGAGCAACTATGGGGTGACCTGTTTGCTTTAAAGTTGGAACTGCAACTACCTGATTATCTGTTTTTAAACACATGCACAAACACTGAATATTTCTGGTACGCAAAAATTTCTATAATTTGGGACACTCAGACTAGCACTTGTTGCTGAAAACATTGCTGTTGATACATAATTTTGATGTTCTTTCTTTCTGTGGATTAGGACAAAAAGATGACCTTGCAGATGGAGGACCTGTCACCTGCCCTGTCCGAATATGGAATCAACGTCAAGAAACCAATTTATTTTGTGTAGTACTCATGTCTGTACCAGTGTGGTTTAAAAAAACACCAAAGTTATAGATGTATGATACTTGTTGGAAACATTTGTTTCACTGCCACCTGTGTTAACCTCATTATTTGTGTCCTCAGTAACATTATTTCTCGGCACTACGCCAGAGCCATCTACACATTTTTTTTAAAAACAATTATATTTGAAAACTGATGAGATCTTTGCGTGTTATTTCATTTTGATCTATTAGATGTAGGAATTTGTGCGCCTTTGGCATATTGCAAAATGACAAATAACACTTCTCTTCTGAAAATTTACAGGTGAAAATCAAACCAAAATTGCACCCTGAGGATTTGGCATGGTGGACACTAAAAATGTGCGTTCCAATTGATGTCCTCTGGGGATATTTGTACATGTTTGAATTTGGTTGTTATTTGTAATCAGCACGATTGATTGTGTCTGCCACATTAAAAGACATAACACTGTTTAAAAAACCACACTGGAGGAAAATGTTGAAGGAATATGATACGAGCGGAAAGAAAACTTACAGAGGTAGACGAACAGCAGCTTAACTTCCAGAGGTAGACGAACAGCAGCCTGAGTACACTGTAGAAACAGCATCTGATTGATTGCATAGTTGATATAAGTTGTGTGTACATATGTTAGCTTATATCATGGAACTGCAAAGTAATATTAATGTTTCTGATTTATTTTATGTGTATGTTTTATATGGTTGGATTGTCAGGTGGTTGTGGATGTTGGAGCAGAGCAATGTATGACATGTGGGTACTGTCTGCAGGATTGTATGACATGAGTGATGTAATATTTGTAGGATTGTATGATTGTTGTATACTAAGGATGGCTGTCCTGATATTTGCCAATACATCTTATTAAAATTAACAGGTCTGTTGTTTCGTATGCATGAAATGTGTGTTTTTTTGTAAATAAAGGGCCTACTTTGCATCAGTGGAGCATCGCTCGCGGCTTGCATTTGTATTGACCAGTCAACATCACGCCAGTTACCTTTACTTTTAGGTGTTTCCAATCTTTATGCTTTTTTTTAGACTGGGAACCTGGGTCAGTTTAAAGAAATCTACCTCATACAGATTTAAACCCCAGATCACTGGGCCAACAGGCAAGTGTCGAGCCACTCACAGCTCTTATTTCTGCTCGTGGTTCACAATAAACACATCTGCTTCCTCTGCTGTAATTAAAAAAAAGTCAGGGATTTAAGTCTGCAGTGGGTTCATCTGTTTATGCCTTGGCTCCTGGTGAACCCTGTTTAAATGGGTACCGTGTAATGTCAGGAGTAAATGTAGCTCCATGTTGTGGTTCAAATTGTGCTTGAAGAAACAAGAAGAGACTTCAGACTGATTCTTACAGAAACAGAGATAATGGTTGACCACACAAAGGATGGATAGATGTAATATCTATGTAACACTTACCAGGCTTGCGCCTGATGCCTCTTAACATGGAGCCGAAAGCCAGAACAAAACGAGTCGATAAGAAGAAGATTAAATCACCGCTCAAGTAACAATCTGTCTTGAACATTAAGGCCTAGCTTATAATCAGTGTGCCCCTGGTGTAGAAACCTGCATGCATATCTGATACAATCACAGATTCAATGCAAAAGGGAAATTACAATAACCTAATCTATGGTAAGACTCCGCACCACAATTTCAGGATATAGACACATTTAGGCAATAATGAAAACAAAGAACTGACAGAAATGTAGAGGTATGAATACAAATGACAAAAGTAATTTCATAGTGGCAGGAAGTTTGTAGAAGTCAAAAAAAAAATTAAAATGTTCACCCTTGAAAGGGCTGGCGGCAGAGTTTTATGATTTAGTCAGGTTGCACCTTTTGTCTCACACATTCTGTTTCAGCTAACTTTAAAAAAACCACTGTATATGATGTGCTTGTTAGCACCTCATAAGGGGCAGTTAGTCTGGTTTTTTTTCCCCCAGACAGACCCTCAGAACCCCAACAGGGATAAAGCAGTACCTGACCTACAATAGTAATCTTTAATGTAAAATCAATACTTCTACAAAACTTTGCTAAGTGGTAACTGCACAGAATAGCGATAATAAAATTGTATAACAATCACTAATGTGGAGCGTTAGTAGAGAACTAAATAAATTTGGATGATGAAAAAATGTACTATAACTAATACTATAACTGCAATATCCTTGCAGTGGAACATGCACTGCTAAGAAATGAAAAGGTATCATAAACACATGAAGATTGAAAAAAGATGGAGAATCATGGAGTAGGCAGAATGGAGACAACAAGAGGGTGGCAGCATTCTCAACAGGAAAGAACAAACATAAACTTTTAGGCTTTGGACTGGATAAAGCAGTCATAGAGCACACCTGACAGGATAGGTCTGCTGCCTGTGACTGTAGAACAAACTCATGAGCATGTACTGCAGGATTGTCCCAACTACGACTAACAAGGGTTGTGGATCTGGTCAAGTGAAGCCACATTAGAAGAGAAGCTGTGGGGGACCGGCGATGACCTTAGATTCTCCCTCCACCCTGTTTGTGACCCAGATGATATGAATGTTTAGCATGTCAGATGAAGAAGAAGATTCTGTCAGATAATTTAAAATGTCAGAGTAATAATTTTTTTTTATCTTTAAGAAGCATATTCTTGATCTTATGAGCCAATTTTTGACGAAGCCATCATTCAAGGTCTCAGAAAAATCCAACCCTGTGCTGACCATTTTACTCCTATTAAAGTGGCTTAGATGCTACCTGTCGGCTTTGTGGCTAAGTCAATGTGAACGCTTCGTAATGCCGGGTTCGATCCCAGCTGCGGGCCATGCGCTGGTTTCGACAGGGGTATCAATAAAGCCGACCGTGCAGAAAGCAATGACAAACTACTGGACATAAATTTGCCTAGAGAAACCACACAACAGCCAGAGGCTGCTGGGGTTGGTTCTGCAACGTCCTGTAAAGGGTACGCAACTAACCTTAGATGCTACCTCCACAATGGATATTTCAAGTGTATGTGGTTGTATACTCTCTGAGGTTACTGTTTATCTACCTATTGATGGTAACACTGAACATATACCACTGTCTACTGAAGACAATTGTAGCTTAAGGGTTGTGAACACATTTCACAATTCTTGGTGTATAAGGGTTTGATTTCTGTGGTTTAGAAAAAAATGCTTTCAAAATTGTATGAGAATTTCACTTTGGAACAGACTAGGGTCTCACCATGTAATATTTCCAAAGACTTCTCATATTCACAGCAGCCGCCCTCCACTGTGGAGGTGGCGCCTTAAAAGACATTACAAGACAAAGTGAATAGTTTGCTTCTGGAAAAAAGAAATAGTTCAAATTTTTACTTTGTCAGAGAACAGCAGATTAACTTATTTATACAATGTATTCTATAATAATACATTTATTTTTGAAAAGTTAATGCTACACAAACAGTTGTCAATGAAAATAGTGGACAACATTATTTTGAAGACAAATGCGCAAAATTGTCAATTCTAATGGGGTAATAATGGACAGCTGGACATTTCCATAAGCACTCTGTTCGTGATCTTCAGCTGCAAGTGCAGTTCCAATGGTACCATTGAGTCTAACTGTATATCTGCCATGCTCCTCCCCTAAATGTCTACCAGTTCTCCTGGTCCCCCTTCGCTGCACCACTCTCTTCTGACCATGATAATTTTTCTGCGTTTCCCCACTGTGTAATGTAACAAAAGTCACTAACACCACTTCTGCCAAACAGAATAACTCCTGCGTTGTGAGTTGGATTATCTTCACAGCACTCCGAACACATCCATAGGTGCTCAGATTCCCCCTTCAACGTATTCATCAGCTTCGCACGGTTAATAGTGCCAGTCCTATGCTGGTTTACAAGACTTGCCTGTGATCTTTACTCCCAGTTCTCATATCCATAACAGTGATGTGGACATACTGCTTTCAAAATCCTCAGAACCTCCTATCTCTCGAAGGGCACGGACACTGTAATCCATGGGCCAGCCATCAGCAATTAATGCGGAACCTGCCCTTCTAACAAACCTGTATAAAAAGTTAAAGGACCCGGTTCCACGCCTTTAGGCATATAGGGCTAGACCTATATTTTATAGACCATCACGCCGGCCGCCTCTACTTCCCGGGACTGCAGCTGGTACCCACTCAAGGCTGGGTCGACCTGGGAGCCAAGGCTCCGCCAGGGAGTGAACCCACGACTTTTCAATCCGCTGCGTGCGTCTAGCAATTCTGCCACGGCGACCAAAAGTAAAGATCTCTTTTCACGCCTTAGGCGCATCGGGCATATGGGAAGAGCACCCATATTTTTCCAGACCAATCGGCACTGGGTGGGTAATGTGGTCAGCATTATGCTGGCTGTCTCTACTTCCCCAGGACAGCCATTTAAGGCTGGGTCGACATGCGACCCCCCCATACCATGATTAAAATCCATGCGGCCAGCAAAAGGGTTTTGATCGTGGTATGTTGGAATTATGAGTCGGACTCGCAACGCCTAAGCCACGGACGTCGCAAACCTGCATGCCCTAGGACAAATATGAAGATAAAACACAGTTTTGCAATGACTCAACCCATTGTCTGCGTAACCAGCCCGCCTCGACTCGCCAGATCATGCTCAAAGAATCACTCAGCAGACACATTCGGAAATAGTCCTGTGATTCTAGCCATTTGAAAGATTCTGCCTTCGTCATGCTGCTGGTAGTCATGGAGAATGAAGGCACCGCTGGCTTCTTGGATTGTTCTGCCTCATCGAGGTGTAAATGCCCATGCACTCGTATGATTGATCATCTGTGAAGAGGATACCTTTCTTTACCAAGGCAAATCTAATACTTTGATTCTAGAACTTTGATTCGGCCAACTTTATAACTGTAACAGAGTCCCTGCCTAAATTGCATTTCATTGTTGGGCTGTTGAAACAACAGGCCCTATCATGGCCTTCACCCTTGTTTTTGGAACCTTTTCACTAAGCTTAGTGACCGACTAAAAGTACATGGTGTCCTTGGCTCAGCTCCTCCCGAGACTTCCAGCAGTCTGTCTAGACATCACGTGACATTTTTGAAATACCTTTACTAGTCCTGTTTGTTGAAAACGCAATAGAGCTGGCAAAACATGTTGCTGGAAAGTTCTGGAAGCGAGCTAGTGGCACCTATATAAGCGAATGCCCGGACCCATCGACAGGAGAGGAGGACCGGCCAGCATAACGAGAAGGAAGTCAGGCCCGACTGGTGTGGAAACAGTGGGCAGGCTAATCAGGAATTATAGTTAAAATAGAGTTTGAATCAGTGTTAATTTTCTCATCCTGATTTACAACTGTTTGAAGTGTTAGGAAAGCTGCTATATTCCTGAACAAATAGAGACATATTAGGAACACTATAGAGATGTTAGAGCCAACGATCAAGACGTTAGTACCAAACAGCACTAGAAGCCCAGTGGCAGTTAGAGACACTAGAATCAGTTAACAAAGTAACTAGAGACGAAGAACACAACACGAACCTAGTAGTATTTAACCATAGAGAGAACACAGCGCTATTCAGAATACCCTTGATGTATTTGTGACATTGTTGTAGTATCACAATAAAAATAGTGTAGACGAGAACTTTTGTTTCCAACCATTTTATTATACAAGCATCAGAGTCACGTGAGAAGCATGCAGCTAGCAAGACATCATCATCATCACCACCACTTTCGACACGACCATCTTTCTCCTCGTCTATAACCTTCCAATCGACTCCTCCTGTAGCAAAACTAAAGACGAACATGGGTGTGACAACAACATATGCAACGAAGAAGAGAGCTGTGCTACATAACACAAGTCACCTGTGGCCCTCAGATACGAACATTTTACTAAGAGCACAAATGGTTTGACTAATCAACATACATTATTTGTAAATCAGTGTCTTTACACTTGTGGAGATGCTGAAGAATTAATCGAACACCTATGGATCTGTCTGGAGTGTTCTAATAATCCAAATAAATCACTTAGAATAAGTATGCAGCGTCCATTCTCTTTGCATGTAAGCTAGTCTTTATTTCTGTATGGATGTTTTTTCTTTTACGTGGTCTTTCCCTTGAACTGAACTCATGTTTCTCAAAAAGGCAGTTGGTACCAGAGCATACTTGTTAGATGGCTAAACCATTTAATTTTTTTGTCTCATGTGTTGTAAGATTTCTCAGGATATGCTGGGAGCTGTTTACTTCTGCTGAGACTAGTGTCCCGAATACTACGGTCAAGACCCGCTCATATTTATGAATAGCTTAGGTGTTCATCATAAGCAGTGAATTTGGCATTCCTCAGCTCTGTAAAACAGCTTAAAAATGTCTCAGTCAAAAGTGTTTTCTTAACACTATGAATTTCTCTTTTTTTTTTAAAAAAGAGAATTCTTGTTACTAACTATCTAGACAAGCACTTTCTAAACTGTGTCGTGAGACATTGGTGTGTCAGCTGCACTGACATGTGTCCCACAGATGTAATTTATGTATATGTCCATATCTCCGATAAAAGTATATTCAAGCTCTGATTTGCTAAATTAATGTCCACGAAATTATGTTTGTCTAAATAGTGTGTTGCCAACATGAATGTTTTGAAAGTGGTTTTAGACAACAGTCCTAGACTCTGTTGAAGCAAGGCATGGAAATCAGCTTCATGGGTATGGCAAATTTGATTAGTCAGACTGTTCTGTGTGTGGCCTTATAGTGGAGAGGCTGGCTTTGCCGATGGTGCCACATTGGTTGGGAACTGCATCACTGTGTTATTTAGTCAAATCGTTGTGAACTCATATTTTTTGTTGATCCTCTTTTTCGCGCTGCTCTCGCTGTTTCCGAATTTGAACTGGAAATAAAAATAACACAGAAGAAAGTGAAGACAAAGTTTACATACGGCTGAAAAAATTGTGGGGGGTGGAGGGTGGGTTGACACTGTCGCCCAGTCTAAAATAGGTACCTGACAATGACCTGTAAGTCAAGGCAGCCTGCATATTGCTGATGACTCGCCCTTCAAGTTCTGATTAATCTATAATATTTTTAAAATGAGAATCATATGCTAGATGCACTAGTGGAGTGTTTTTATTTGTGTGAAATACAAAAATTTTTTTTTTTAGAATCAGTACCTTTTGAGTGTTTTTTAATGTCAAATTGATTATTACATTCATGAATGAGTTGTAAGTAATTAGAGAGTGAGCTTGGTATAATCTGTTAACATAAGCCTACGTATAAAGCCTGCTACTGTAGGCCCAAAGATAAAAAACCTGTTCCCTCATATTATTTTGAGTTTCAGTAAATTACTGACATCACAGCAATCGGGACGCTGCCACAAGTCCTCCATCTTCAGCAGCAAGCACAAAATTACAATTTTGATGGCACCTGTAACAATCTATCTGTATGTCTTCTCGCCCTTTTCCTTAGTGTTGAGAGCTAGCCCTAATTTTTTTTAAAGCTTCAAGCCCTAAGAAGTTGGCCAGGCAGCACAATGGTTATGAATTTCTCTGCCAGTACAAAGGTCTCCGGTTTGAATCCATGCCTAGGCAGATTTTTTTTAAAAACACATTTTGGCTCTGAGTCTGAAACAGGTGCCAAGAAATGCCCTAGGAAGTAAAAATGGCCTGCATAAATTAGATTATTTCACACATCGAGTTTTGACTTGTCTAAAAAAAAAATGAGTGTAGCACCATATATCCGATGTGCCAATGGTGTGGAAAAAAAAGGTCCTGGCTTACATTTACTTATGTTTTCTGGGTACCAATGAACACATGTAGTGATTTTAAGTAATGCACTGGTATTAAAAGAGAATTACAAAGTAAGCTTTAAATTCGTTGAAGAAACTGATGGAAACAAGGACGTAAAAAAAAAAAAGATAACGCTGTAGGGATTGGGCAGTGGATAATGATGAATCTCTGACACTAACATGATTGCATGACATGGGAGTAAAGCAATGATAAAGCATGGCTATGCCGCCTTTAAGGCCCAGATAGGAGACATCACAATCAACCTCTCATGGGAACATTTAGTACAAATTGTTTGGAGTGACTGCTGCATCGCAGGACTGAGCACGGGATCTCCTTGCAATAACGGTCGCTACTTGGATGGCGACGGCCGCTTAGTCGGAGTTCAGTCCCCTGGCTGCAGTGCAATTACGGAGTGGACAAGGCTCGAAACATAACACAGTGAGTTCAACATGGCGTTTAAACCACGCGCTGCGACTCACATTATTAGCCTAACCCTAACCCAAAACCTTACTTATGTCCGTTATTGCAAGGAGAGCCCTGAGCACGCATGGAAATGCCCGCTATCCTCCGAATAACGGGCACATATTATGGCAGCCAAAAACACACCCTAAAAGGGCCTCAGTCACATGTCAATTGCCGACTTCCGGTAACTCAAACTGCGGACTTCCTGCGACTACCGCCGCCGAGAGTATCTCCCACGCCTCTACGCATGGCATAGAGTGGGACTAAACTAGAGGGCTGGGACTCACGAGCAGCAGCTAATGCATCTCCTGCAGCTTCCTTCATTTTATTTGCTCAGAGTCCCAGCACGTAGCGGCGTGGGAGATACTCTCAGTGGTGGCAGAGTCGCAGGAAGTCCGCAACTGACATGTGACTGAGGCCCTGTTAGGGTGTGTTTTTGGCGGCCATAATATGTGCCTGTTATTCGGAAGATAGTCAAAATGCCCAATGTGCAGTGATGTCGATTGTGACAGCATAACATAAAACGATGATGACAGGAGAAGCCAAAGGTGTTGAATTGAATTTATATTTTTAAACGATACTGAAATAACAGAACGGAATAGACGAGTAAACTGCGAGTCCTACGTGACATGGCACAACATGATGGCGATAGTGATCGTACCGAGAGGAAAGTCCTTGAAGATTTTAAATTCAAATATTAAAATAAAATACATACGTGGATACAAGTGGTCCTTGTTATAAATCTCGTATTCTTTCGCGTGCTTTGCATCCCACATCGACTTGAAGGCAGGGAAGAAGAAAATACCAACGCCCAGAACAGTGCCGACGATAACAAACGCTGTTTTTGTGGTTTGTTGTGCCCATATGGGCTCCAACTTGGCCTGTACGAACTTCATCAGACGCTTCGCCATTCCTGGTATTATAATGCTTATCTGATTTTCTCTGACAACAAGGATACTTTGTATGCGTGTACTGATTTTACTTTTCAAGTCACCGTAGGTTCGGTTCGGTTTTGATCTAATTTAAATAGTAAACACAGAAAAATAGGAGGCTTTAAACGGAACCGAAATCCAGATGTGGGGTTTTGACTTCTCTTGGCCAATAACAGGGACAGGTAACTCGCTCTAACTAAGCCACTGGCTATCGGTACGGTGTTTGCGGTTCTTGTTTTTATATTCATTCAGCACCGAGCTAGAGATGTTCCAACTTGCAAATTTGGCTAATGGTATCCTCTGCTTCCGCTCTCTCTTTAGACGCTTACCTAAGTAGTTCATCCGTGGGCAGCTGTGCAACGGGTGTTTTATATCAACAGTAACACAAAGGTACGCTTTCGTCTAAGCCATCTTGCGTCTCGTGGCCAAGCCTGGCAGGTCGAGGATGTATCGCATGGCATGCCATGAGGTGTGACTGGTACAGCCGAAGATCAGTCTTGTGGCTTTATTTTGCTCTTTGTCTAGTCTTTCCAGATGATGTCTGCTAATTGTGAGGAAGCCAAGCCCATAATCAGTCATTCGGAACACAAACTACGATAAAACATAAACTACAGCCTTTGCTTATCTTAGCGGCTACCATCACCATGAGCGCCGCCAGGCCTTTATTAGCTTTTATAAAGATATGCTCTGTGGCTAAGTCGATGCGAACGCTTCGTAATGCCGGGTTCGATCCCAGCTTCGGGCTGTGAGCCTTGCCTTGGTTTCGACAGTGATATCAAGAAAGCCGATAGTCCAGGAAGCAATGGCAAACTGCTGGCCGTAAATTTGCCTAGAAATACCACACAACAGCCAGGGGCTGTTGGGGTTGGTTCTGCAACGTCCTGTAAAGGATACGCAAATAACCTATATATTGGAAGGACATATATTTTTCAGAATGGATAACAAGATATTAAGGATCTAGTGACCTTTTGATGTCATCTCCACACATACTGACAATCTGTGTGGGCATCTTGACAAGTTGGCGTAAATAGGGTGTGACTGCAGTCGAGTTGATTGCAAGCAATGCTGAATATAACACACAAATTGACTAGAAAGCTCAACGGAAGAAATGGAAAAGACGCAGACGAACACAACCGAGCGTTTCGACCATATTTTACAAGATATTGAAATAACAGAACGGAATAGACGAGTGAACTGCGATTCCTACACGACATGACATAACGAAAGACACAACAAAATGATGATGGTACCGAAAGAGCAAGTCCTTGGACATTTGGTCTTTGGTCGAAACGTTCGGCTGTGTTCGTCTGCGTCTTTTCCATTCCTTCCATTGAGCTTTCTAGCCAATTTGTGTATTATATTAACCATCTTGACAAGTTCGTTGTTTAGTGAGAACAATGTCACTGTAGGCTTTGCTTGATTTACTCTAGCCTCTGATCCCCCACACCATCTGATCAGTCTGCCGTGTTCTTGCTATAGGACTTTCTCTGTCTGTATACTGACTGAAGCATGAGGTCAAAGTGTCCGATCAGGTTTCAGATTTGTGTAGGGTTCTAATCACTTTGGGACGTGACTGGCCAGCTGGTGCTAAAGAATCAGAAGTTCCAACCAAAAAGAGTCATGACAATTCCCGCCCAAGTGATGTGATTGTGTATACAGATGTCTGTGTTGAGGGGCAGACGAAGTGCATGGGGGTTCATAGCAAAGGCGAATGGACGTCGCTTGCATATGATATCACAACGTCTAGTTTCAGAATGTACGTGGAGGCAGTCACTGCTGCACTTCCGCTGGCTTAAGAATCAGCTGTACACACATGTCGTCATTGCAACTGACTCACAGAGCACCCTGAAAAAGGTGGAGACAGGCATGCTCCGTGCAGAGTGGCAAGCTTCACTTCAGAGGTCCCGGATATTTAGCATCCTTTGGAGACATGGACGACCTAACGAAATCTAGACATAAGAACAGCAGAAAGGGAAATGGAGGAATACAAAATGATGGATATGATAAGTGGCACATCCCGTGGGGGGGGGGGGGTGGAGGCTTACAAATGGAAATAAATATGTTTTTATTTAAACAATTTTTTTAGGGGGGGGGGGCTGACATTACCTTGCTATGCTAGGCAGAAACACAGCAATGTTGATCACTTGTAAATTCCTTATGTGAAGACAATATAAATAGCCACGGTTTTAACTTCCCTTCGCGCGGGTTACTTGATAACTGTTCCGTCCATGTGCCAAAGAAAATCACTCAAATCCCTTGCCTATCACATATGAAAACTCAAGCGGTGTAGCAGGAAACGAAACTACAGATAAACTTGCTAAAAAAAAGGAGGGGGGGGGGGGGGGTGGGATCAGGAAGAGAATACAGTAACATACTTTGAGAAGAAAAGAGCCATCTAGTTTATCAGAAATAACAGTGTGGCAGGACGCCAGAGAACGGATGGTGATTATTTTTTCATTAGGCTTTATAAGCGAGCCTACCTCTTCATTCTTATAATGGATGATGTCATCAAGACCTGTAAGGAGAAGACAAAGAAGTACTCTGTAGGGTACTGGAAGATGAGACCAATCTGTATATCAGAGCTGGCATTTGCAGACGATGTGGCCCTGATAGCTAAATCAGAGGCACACCTTCAGTCCAACTTACTTGTCTGGAAAACTAAAACCATGGTAATCTCAAGAGAAGAGAAGAAACACCAGATCATGATGAAACAGTGTGCACTGGAGCAGGTCAACCAGTTCAAATACCTTGGAGTTGTGTTAGACCGAAATGGAGGCATTGAGACTGAGCTGGCTACACGAAAAGCCGAGGGTTTCTTAGCAGAAGAGAAACTGGCAAGAGGACGAAAATGGCTGTTTACCACTCTACCTATGTACCAGTTCTGGCCTATGGATGTGAGTTATGGGCGATGACAACAGCTCACAGAAGCCAGCTTCAGGCCTCAGAAACAAGATATCTGAGAAAGGTGGCCCAAGTGACAAGAAGGGACAAAGTCCGCAATCAGACAATACGTTAAGATCTTGATACCCAGTCTTTACAAACCCGTGGATCAGTCAATGGTCGATGGTTTGGACATGTATGCAGAATGGGAGAAAATCGGCCACAATGGCAGGCTAAGAACCAGACCTCCAGGACGACCCAGGGTGCGATGGAAAGACAACACCCGACAGTCCCTAGCTGACAAGAGAAGTGGAATGGAACAAAGCCAGAATGAAAACTGCTGATAGAGACGTCTGGCGATCTCTATGGCAAACCTCTACACCCCAAGGTAGAAAAGGATCGAGTAAGTAAGTTAAAGCGAGCCAAAAGTCTGGGCACTGAGCATAAAAAGGCCAACGCACCAGGGACCGCTCTCTTTTTGGCTTTCTGGACTGAACCCGCAGGCGCTTGTCGGGCAGGAGACCTCGCTCAGCCAGTGCTGATGCACAATACATGTGCTTAGTAGCACGTGTTCGAGTGATTGCAGGGGTTTGAACGGTTAGTCTGGCTTGTTGATGATGACAACGGTGGTGCGTTTCTGTAGCTAGCTCTGAATTTGTCTCTAGATAAACTGTGTAGAGCTATATCAGTGTGTATAATCTCTCGGCGATATTTCATTTTTTTGGAGTGATTTTCACGTTGATGATTGTTATTTGTGAACAACGCTTAGTTTTGTGTTCAGTTCAGTAAAACAAACAGCTGTTTAATGTGATGATTATAATTCATTTGCTTGATTCAATTTAGAATATGTAGTCTGTGCACGTAGTTCGTCTAGGTGAATGTAGCCATGTAATTCACCATACAGATATGCTATGCCTAGGCAAAGAATATTTGATTTCATTGTTCCTGCTCAGAAGAACTCTTTACTTTCCTGTTCAGCGGGGAACTATTACTTTTCGTCCTAATCACAATTTTCTTTATCCTCCTACTTTTGTGTTATTCCCCTTTCTTTCTTCCCCCTAGCACAACAGAATCTGGCCAGAGGTTATCACTTACTTGATCGGCATGGGCAGGTCATGGTTCTACACCTCAGGACATATGAGGCGCGTTTTTTAAAAAGTAAGTCACGTTTTGACTGCACCAACAGAAAATGTAAATGTGCATATGCAGTATGTTTATGTGGTGCATTAGCTAGCTCTTTGCTGTTTTTTTTTTTACTGTCTAAATCTGGTTTCATGCTGAGTTCGATGCAATGGCAACACCCATGGTCCCCGAAAGCAAAAATGTTTAAGAAAGCACTTTCTGTCAAAAAAATCATGGCCACTGTTTCTGGGACAAAAAAGGGATCTTTTGATTTTCTTTCAACTTGGAAAGACAGTTAATGAGTTTATGCCAAAGCTCAGTGTGACATTCTGAAAATAAAAGACGTGGGTTGCAGTTCTCTGGAATTGTGCCATGACATCGCAGATGGAGCTGTTCAACTACTGTAAAATTGTCACTAGGAAATTGTTGACCACCCGCACTACAGCCTTGATCTGGCACCAAGTGATAACCGCTTTTTCATGCACCTAAAGAAGTGGTTGGCATTCCAGTGGTTTGAAACTGATGAATACCTGCAGACAGGTGATAATAAATGGTTCAAGACACTTCTACGACATTGTAATTAAGAACCTGGTGCCATGATACCAAAAATGTGTTGAATTCAATGGTGACTATGTTGAGAAACAATGTAAATGTGTGGTTCACTTTTGGCTGCAATAAATTATTTTTATATATGATGTTTAAAAAAAAACTCAATACCGGGACCTTAACAGGCAATACTAATCACGGCAGTCACCCTATCTCATTCAGGCGCAAGATGTGGCTGTTCCCACGGGCTGTCCTATGTTCTAGGGGTGTTATGTGATGCCTTTTTTCCTTTTTCTATTCAAGCTGTAAAGAAAACTGCACAGCTTTCTTGTTGCAACTATCTTTTTGTTTCTTGAAAATGTTGTAAGTAGCTCAGGTGCCTGTGTGTGCGGAAGAAGTATTGCAGGGAAAAGCACCGAAGTCGCAACGGC